GCTGGGACTACAGGCACACGCCACCATGCCCAGCTAAATTTGTATTTTTTTAGTAGAGATGGGGTTTGACTATGTTGGCCAGGATGGTCTCGATCTCTTGACCTCAGGTGATCCACCCACCTCGGCCTCCCAAAGTTTTAGGTTGTATGCAAACACTGTTTTACATGATTTTTGTTGTAGTTAGAACATTTACTGATACTATCTATCTATCTATCTATATATATATATATTTTAATGTAGGGTCTTGCTCTGTCACCTGGTCTAGAGTGCAGCAGTGTGATTGTAGCTCATTGTAACCTCGAACTCCTGCTGCCTCAGCTTCTCAAGCGCCTATGCCAGACTTCACAATACAATTTAAATATGTAAAACAAACCATTCTCTACAGCTACTATGATTTTCTTAACAAATCTCTACCACCTGGCAAAGGCATGGTGGGGAGGAGACAAATTAGATTTAAATAAACCGTAAAATCTTATTCTGATGCAATAATTCAAACGGTTTCTTTCGGTGACATTTTTGACCTCTTAGGTTTGTCCCCGCCATCCTTTCCTAACCCAGAATGGCATGTGGCACATGTGGAGGGCTTACCAGGTATGCACGGCAGCAGGGGAGAAGGCGGGTTCTTGAGTCTGTGAGTTGTCCTGGAGGGTCCCTGCTGAGCTCTGCCGTGAGGCACCTGGACTGCTCTGGGCTGGCGACTGAGGAAGGCTGACCAGCTCCCTCTGCTGATACTGGGCCTAGGTGTCTGCGGCTGGAGTGATTAGTGATCTGGCCTGGTCAGGACTTTATGGTCCTTCTTGGTTGACCAAACCTCTCCTGAGTTCTGGGTGGTGCTGTGTCTGCCCTTCTTCCTTCAGGTACGGCCCCTTTGTCCCTATAGCAGGGACGTCTTCTGGTAAACTCTCCTGCTGAACCTCAGCTAACTTCTGCTTATCTTCTTCCACAAATTGGAACTTTTCAATCATGAGCACAGTACACAGGAACGGAAAGTGGCTCATCTGTGCTCAGCTCCAGGCCCATCTCCCCAATCCTGCTAAATCATGAGTCTACTTTGATGTGGTTTCCCTTTAGGTTCTGCAAGTCATGATTTCCCTGTGGTTGTACATGAGAGGTGAGTCCCGCTGGAATTGGGCAAAAGCATTTTCCTAAACTTCCCTAAAATATCAGGATTAATATGCAGATAGAAACAGGAGGCAAAGAAACTCTAGGCAGACAGGGGAGGGTCCCTGGCAAAGCCCGACCTTCAAGCTGAAAAGCCTGAAACCCATGACCCAAAGTGAGAACTTCTATCGCTGTTTATCCACTCTCTCCCGATTAGTTTTTTTTTTTTTTTTTTTTTATACCGCCTTTTTACCAACTGAACGTTGCCTTTCCTAAAACTACCTAAAGCCCATCCCACCCACCATCCTGTGCCTATAAAGACCCCAGTCTCAGCCAGTAGATGGGAGAAACAGCTGGATATCAAGGAGAGGCAACTTGACTTTGGAGGAGAAAGGCAGAGAGGTGACTTGACTTCAGGGGAGAGCAATCTGCCCTTCCCATCCCCTTTTTAGCTCCTCTCTCCACTGAGAACTGCTTGTATTGCTCAATAAAATTCTCTGCATTCACCATCCTTCAATTTTTCCATGTGAACTAATTCTTCTTGGGCACTGGACAAGAATTCAGGACCCACCAAGTGCAGGTTCTCAAAAAGGCTGCCACACTGGCCCTTTGCCCTCTGTGGAAGAGGGCAGCAGCCACAAGTGATGAGGCAGAGGGACCACTGAGCTGATAACATACTGCTGTTTGCAGACAGTAGAGCTAAGAGAGCACTGTGACATGCCCTGTGGGGCCGTGCGATCACAGGCACTCCCACCTGGATGCTGCTGTGGGGCCTGCACAGAGTTTGCTCCTGCCTGTGCCAAGTGGCTGGCTGGTTCTTGCACTGGCTCACCTATGCGCTCCCTCCCATGAGGGGTAAGGCCCAGCAGGCCTGAGTAATGGAGTTCAATTCTGCTGGCACCAAAGCAGCCTGCACATGCTTTCCTACATGCTCCCTACCATGAAGGGCTGAGCATGGCAGGCTGAGGACATGAGACACCTCTGTCACAGGTCCTATGTAGGGGTCAAGAAAACAGCCTCCTGTATCAATAGTATGCCTCCTTGTCCTTCTCTTGCCAATTTCTCCTCTGTCTATTCTTTGGGACCAGAGGTGTGAGCTGCAATCTCTTCTTCTCTCTGTCTCATCCTCTACCTCCCTTCCCTGCTAGGGTAGTATCTGAGGCTATTGTCTCCCTCCAAGGCCAAAGATCTTTTCTTTCTATCATGGAATAAATCATGAAGTTCAGCAACCAGACCTCCTCCTAATAAACCAAGAGGAATGAGGGTGAGAAAACCAATTGGTTTTCTTTCTTGCTGTAAATATAGCTTATAGAACTGCTGCATGGCTGGAGATCCAAATCCTTTGCAGATGTCAAAAGCTGAATGATTAGCATTGCCTTCCTCCTCTACCAGCCTGTACTTGCTTGCCTCTTCCAGCTCCAGGCAGGTGTATGCCTCATACTGCCTAGGAAAAGAATAGAAACAAAAATGCAAAAAGAAAACCATATTCCTGTATTATAAAATAATATACAATATCCAGATGCTGTAATGACATAAATAGGAGTGTGAGAGCAGAGGGAGAGACTCAAGGATGCTTTGGAATTGGGAAGACTTCGCAGAGCAAGGGCCATTCCAGCAGAGAGGGGCCTGCATACTAGTGTGTATTATTTTTTTACTTCTTTAGTTTTTTGAGACAGAATCTTGCTCTGTTGCCCAGGCTGGAGTGCAGAGGCATGATCTCAGCTCACTGCACCCTCCACCTCCTAGGCTCTAGCAATCCTCCCACCTCAGCCTCCCAAGTAACTGGGACTACAGGCATGCACCATCACACCAGCTAATTTTTCTAATTTTTTGAAGAGATGGGGTTTTACCACATTGCCCAGGCTGGTCTCCAACTCCCGGGCTCAGGCAATCCTCCCACCTCAGCCTGCCAAAGTGCTGAGATTACAAGTGTGAGCCACTGTGCCTGGCCTAACGTGTAATCTTGAAAGGCCCATTCAGAGGACTAGATTTCCAAAACAAAATCAATTGAATGGTTAGGAACCATACCCTCCAAGCAACTGAATTACCTGTTGACTTCAACATTTGTGAATTCTTCTGATTAAAAAGTAATACATGCTTACCGGATTAAACAAATGCTCACGATATACTTATACTGGATATAAGTACCTGCATTGTTCATTTTTCATGTGTCTCCTTAACATACATTTTATATGCCATAAAGAGCCATCAGACTGTATCAGACTTTCTGTGAGAAGGCATGTTACTTGTATAATCCCCTGAATACTGGGATTAATTTGTGATAACAGTATTTCCTGATTATTCTAGTTAATTTAGAGATTGGTAGTAGAAATGGAACGCTGCATTGACAGATTGGCTAGGCAACAGCAGCGAGGAAACTGAATCTGACTGAAAACTCTGCAGCCCCTGCTCTACCATGGTAAAATATTTATAAGACTAGCCTGCAATAACTTGGAAGGCTTATTCGCTTCTTAATGAACTTGTAGCTCTAGGGGAAGGGGTTGAAAATAGAATGTCGGTAGCATGTGCTGGTTATTACTGTGCTTAACAAGATTTACAAGGAAGAGATAAGCACAGAAAATAATTGACTAGTTTCTAGGAGTAATAAAAGAAAATAGTGAAAGGCCAGAAATTAAAGTGGAAAAGCTAACTGCCCTCAGATGATCAATGCTAAGTAATGGAATTTAGAACAATTTTGAAAGGCCAAAGGTAAATATCAGATTAAGGGTGTGCTGTCCAGTTGGAATTACGGCAAAAGTCAAATGAAGGGTGTGTTCCACACCTGTTGTTAAAATTTCCCTCTGGCTAAAATGTATCAGAGCGAATATTAGATTCAGGCTGTGGCCTGGACACCTATTGCTTCAAGTTGCCTCTAGGTAGGCACCACCACAGTGAGTGGAAGAAGCTGGGGTGCCTAGAACGAAGAAATGAAGCAGATCTAGGATCGAAGCCTTGAGAGAACAATGGGTGTGGTTGCTGGAAGCAGAGCCCACTGCCGAACTTTGAGACTCCTAACGCCAACCAAACCAAGCAGCTTCCCCTCTCGATTCTGGCCTTAAAAGGCCTGCGATTATTTGGGACCTATAACCACTCTTGAGAGTCCAAGAGGCAAAGAGGCTGGGAAAGCTATGCAGTCCCTCAGGAGGACACATTTTCTGAAACCTACTTCCGATGAGGCCAAGGAGGCAAGAGAAAAGGAGGAAACTTCTGAAAGATGTCCTTGGAGGACAATAAAAAAAATGGAGTGTCCTCCAGAGAGCAGACTCAAGGACTAGGGAACATCTCCCACCCTCCAGGTCAGAGGTCCTCACGATGGCTGTCCAGTAGGATTTCGAATGTCTTTGGTTCTGCAACTGCAGGCATCTCCCATTTTTCTCCTCTTTGAATGAGTCTTTATGGCTGTTGCCCTGTCTCTGTTCTACCACTGAATATTGGTATGTAGAAGTCAGCTAACTTGACCTTTTAGATTAGCAGTTGACCAACTATTGCCCATTGGCCAAATACAGCCTATAGCCTTCGGCCTTTTTTTTTTTTTTTTTTTTTTT